ACGGCGCTTGGTCGGCTCGGGGAGGCGGTGAGGGAGTGTGAGGAAGCTGTGAGACTCGATCTCGGTTACGGGAGGGCGCACCAGAGGCTTGCTGCTCTTTATCTCCGGTGAGTGTTTCGATTTTTGTTCAAACTGGAGCTTCTGTTTGATGCTTGGTTACTACGAATTCTGAGGAGTTGATTTTTTAATTAGTTTCTTGTAAGATGATTTGATTGGCCTATGTTGTTGAGATCCGCATGGTTTCTGTGATCGGTATCAGTGCTGTTTGCTTCAAGTTTTAGGAATATGAGTAGATTCATATTTAATATGTGGTACTTGTTTCTTCATATGTTTCTTCATTCCTTTGGCACTTGCTTTGTCAACATGTTTCCTTAGATTGGTGAACGACATTTGAATTCTACTTCTTGAAATGTCAATGCCCCAGTCTGCAGAAGCAGCTATCTTCAATGGGTTGTGATAATTCCTCGGTAGTCTTTTGTGTTATAATCTGTAAAAATGGTTTAGTTCGGGGATATTTCCATGCTTCAAGATCTTTACTTAGTTGCCACAAGAGTTCTGGGATTTTTTTAAGTAAATGCAGTTTCTGGTTTCATTTGTGGTCTGAACTGTGTAAAACATAACTGTTGACCGACATGTTTTCCAGTTTCGGGCAGGTAGAGAAATCCCGGAGTCATCTCCTTTTCTCAGGACAGCCAGATCAGTACGAGTTGCAGAAGTTGAAGTTGCTTGAGAAGATCTTGAATCAGTGTGCAGATGCCCGAAAAGCCAGTGATTGGAAGTGTGTTCTAAAGGAATCTGAAGCAGCAATAGCAGCTGGAGCAGATTTCTCTCCGCAGGTAAAACTCATGGATATATTAGTTTATATGTAACATATGTTTTCAGACCTACTGAAGTTTATTTGAAATGCAATATAAAGCTTGTCGCGTGTAAAGCCGAAGCCCTTTTGAAGCTCCATCAGCTTGAAGATGCAGACTCCAGCCTATCAAACATTCCCAAGTTGGAAACTCCTGCTTCATGCTCCCAAACCAAGTTCTTTGGTATGCTTGCAGAAGCTTATGTGTTCTATGTTCGTGCCATGGTCGATATGGCATTGGGAAGGTAATACATTATTGAAAAAATAATATTAGTTAAGAGTTTAATGGTTACCTTTTAGGTGAATAAGGGCTTATTTGCTGCTTGCAGGTTTGATAATGCAGTTCTGGCAGCTGAGAGGGCTGTAAAGATTGACTTCAATAATCTTGAAGTTGCAAAGTTGTTGAGTAATGTGAAAATGGTGGCAAGAGCTCGGTCTCGGGGTTTCGATCTTTTTAGCTCTGGAAGATACACTGAAGCCTGCACAGCATATGGCGAGGGCCTCAAGTATGATAGTTCGAACCATGTTCTTTATTGCAATAGAGCGGTATGTTGGGCCAAGATTGGACTTTGGGAACAATCTGTTGAGGACTGCAACCAAGCCCTCAAGATCCAACCCAACTACAGGAAAGCCCTTCTTCGCAGAGCCGCTTCAAATGCAAAGGTGAAAAGGGTGCTAGATACTCTTCTTTATCCTTGTCATGGGAAATTGTTTTTTCTTAACTTCTGACAAGTGTTTTCGTGTTCTCTCGTGGGACATTTTAGCTTGAAAGATGGGAAGACGCGGTGAAGGATCTAGAGTTTTTGAGGAGAGAGCTTCCTGGAGACAATGAGGTTGCTGAATCTCTTCACCAAGCACAGATTGCATTGAAGAGATCTCGTGGAGAGGTAGTTAATCATGGAATAGTCAGCGGTGAGGTAGAGGAAGTTTCTACCCTCGATAAACTGAAAGCTGCAATATCATCAACTGGTTAGTTTGTTTCCCAATTACTGTTTGACAATCTTTTGTATCCGTCTTTAAACATCATTTCATTTGGTTTTCGCCACCTTCGAGTAATGCAAGTTATGTCTCCACGATTACTCCTGTCCCGTCTGAAGGAAAACTTGAACTTTCAGGTGTTTCAGTGGTTCATTTCAAAGTTTCCAACGACATATGCGACGAAACATCAACATTCATGAATATGCTATGCATCCGCTACCCTTCTGTTAAGTTCATAAAGGTATTCGTTAATTCGATCATCTTCATTACAATGACACACCTCATGGCAGTATGATGAATTGGTTGTGCATACAGTTATGTTGGACGATTTAGAATCTATACTGATTCAAGTTGATGTTTATATGAAGGTGGACGTGGAGGAGAGTGTGACCATAGCGAAGGCCGAAGGCATAAGAACTGTTCCAGCATTCAAGATTTACAAGAACGGGGAGAAGCTGATCGAAATGATCCGCCCGAGCCACCAGTTTCTGGAGGACTCAGTGAGAAATTGTATTCTCCAACAAACACTCCCGGCACCGTCTCATGGGCCAAACCTCTACAACGTTTGATGGTAACTCTTTTCATACAAAAAAGTTAGTAATTTTTACCTGTAACATAATCAACTACATAATTGTTTCCTAGAATTCTAGGCAGAGGAGCCCTCAGAGACTAAAAGTTTCTTACTTCACATTTGCGGAAATTTATTTCTTTCATTTGTAATATTCAAGCATATTCTTCCTTATTATTTGAATCCCATTTATTTTTGGCCTATATGCCTTTTTTCCCCATGGTCTCAACTCAAATTCTGTACATATGTAATTATTTTGTCCCTTTGGTTAAATCTTGGACATGATTGGTTTTACCTTTTCCTTGAAATGATTGGCTGAATAGGTAACATTTTGGCATGGTTAGCATAAAATATTGGCAAAATTCAAAGTCTTTTGCCCAGATTTTCCCAACCATTGCCCAAAGTACAGACACTGCCCTGCCATTGTTGAACGCTTCTCCTTGTCTGGTTCTATATTTTCCATGTAAACCAAACAATGTTACTCTTTTTAGATGTATCAAAGTCCTAGAAAAAAAAAATCCTGGAATCTCTGTTACACTAGTGAAATCCCCCACTTTCTGAAACCCAACAGTTAAATTGTAAACTTAGCCCTCGAAGTTTGAGCATTGTCTCAAATTTAGCTCATGAACTTTGAAGAGTTTCAATTACATCCTTAAATTTTGGATTACGATAGACTACAACCAACTGTTGACAGCAACGAAAATTCCAAGAAAAGCCTAAACTTTTTGTTGCCTGCCCTGGAAACTGAAAACTGTGCTCATTTTTACCTCAAAACCCAGACTGATGTTTGTGGTGTTAGATCAGATGAGTTTCAGATCAGAACCGACACAAAGAGCTGCAGTTTCTTCTCATCTTGTGTGTTAAAACACTCTGTCCTGTGCCATCCACTGAAATATCTCTGTACAAATGCTCTACTGGTACTGCTACTGCTAAATTGACAATGTTATGTTATGTCATGGACCATGGTGGTGTACTTGTTGACCAATGCCTATGATTTTTTCTGTTTTTTCTTATGATCTATTTATGTGCACCTCGAATAATAACGGGTCAACCGTCTGACCTTACTACATTTGATTGATAAGGAAACCTTAAGAATTTCTCTTGAGATATTAATGACCACCGTAGTTTGAACTCATTTTAGGTTGACATGTTTTTCCTTCTAAGTTTGCACCTGGCAAAATTGGGAAGGCCAGGCCAGAGGTGTGGGACATGGAGAAATGGGCCCATAATGGGCTGGGCCATGGGCCATGGGCTTTGCGGGTTTGCAGGTAGGGCATCTTTTTGTTGAGTTGATATGACAGGTAAGGAGTGGGTAATGGGTAGGGCCCATCTGCCACTTCAAAATGTTGGAAATTTTGGTGAAGAGGGAAATGGCACTGCCTTGTCCTCTAATGGGGAGAGAGTAGAGAGCAAAGATTTTTGGAAAATGACGTCGTTTTGAGGATTCTGGTTCAGGGAACCTGCTGGTGCTGGAGTTCTGGTTTTCATTGTTAATGCACCGCCAAATCAACCGTCGGCCCCGAGGTCACGTGCCCTAATGATTTCTGTATGTGTATTGCCCCTTAGTTGTCTTTTTTTTTTTTTTAACAATTAAAAAATATATATACACTTGTTTTCTTAATTTAAAAAAATTAGAAGTATGAAATAGTAACCAGAATATAGGATTTAATTAAATAGTTTATAGGTTATCTTTATTAGTTTTATAGAATTTTTTTTTTTCTATTCAGTATTTTTGTTTCTTGATATCCAGATATAGATGATACTTTAAAAAAATTAAATAAATAATAATAATAATAATATATAGATGAAAATAGATAAAAATGTTCTCTTTTTACTTTTAAAGAAATTATTTAAATTTTCTTCAACTATGTAAAAAGAAACCATCGTTCTGATGAAGAAAAAAAAAATTCTACCAAATATTTCAAATTTCAATCTATGATATTATTTTTGGTGTATATATAATAATCTTGCTATTGAACAAACTAAAACAATAACAATGTTATAAATATGAATTTTTATTGATATTATACATTTCCATAACATTTAGGGGAACCAAAAAAAAAAGTAGGTATACTTTGAAAGCAATTATAAATATATGGTAGGTCAAATCGTGCGTGGAAAACACGATTTCGTTTAAAATTAAAAGGAATTGAAAATTTCAATGGAAAAATTTGCAAACCAAATCTAAGAATCTAAAGAAGTGATTTTTCGAGCATGAGTCACTGGAGAATAGGGCAAGTTTAGATATTTTTCACTATTCTAAATGTAAAAGTCTTGTCAAACTGTTCACTTGCGAGTATGTACTTCGCAAGGCTTCATTTTGATATATCAACTATTCATATTTGAACAATCTACTTGGAAAGGAAACAAGGGTTTAGTAACAACAAAAACATTATTTGAGGCCATTGATGACACATTACTGCAAACCAACAGCGTCCTCTCCATGAATAAAATGAGCAATTTCAATGGAATCACCAATGAACTAGAATGATAGATTCAAAGAACCAGAGTGAAATCTGGTAGACTTCACACTAACTATTCATTCAGACCAGAAGTTGCTTCTGTAGAAAGAGATGTGCAAGAATGGTTGACAAACATAGGTAGGTTGAGCGACGTGTTTGCGATATACTTGAACTCCTCGATCTCTTTTGCATCCACGGTTGAAGGATCCTATAAATATATGCCCGTTAAAATGTCGCACCGAAACATAAGTAAAAGATATCATTTACGAGCATCTAACCCTTTTCTCCACAATTTAATCCAAGATTCAACTTAGTTTTTTATGTAGCAGGTGAAGGAAAGAGATTTGTAGAAGATATTATGAATAAGCACTTGGTTCCATCAAATGAATTGTGTGCCAGATATGATCAACAATAACAGATTTCATAAATTTGAATTTTTGAAATGAAGCCAACAAACAACAGCAAAGGCAGAGTTTCATAGTTTCAAATGTGAGGTTGTAGAAGAATAGGCTCATGATTCCAGTGAAGAAATTTAGAAGTTTAAAAGCAATTAGGCAGTAGGCTGGTGCTACACTCATTGACAGAATGTATAATACCGCCATCACATTTTATGTGTCCTGTTACTCATTTTGTAGGGCTTTGTTCTATTATTTACCTTGCTATTCAATCTACAGATGTAGCCCACAAGCAGGAGTTGAATCTGCTGCTCAAATACTTTGCTATCACATTCATCCACTGACCATAGTTTCTGCCAAAAGTGAGGCAAGTTATTCAATATTGAATGGGGTTATCATAATTGGAGGCCCAACTCAGGAATCAACTCTAAGAAATAAAACTATCTCAAATATATGAAGGAAATGAATGTAAAGTACCCAAAGTCTTTTCCTTTTCGTACAGGAACAACATTTCCATCCGATGTTAACCACAACTTTGATAGTCCAAGCTGTAGCATTGACAGCGCCAGCCCAACCAAAGAATGTTCCAAAAACTTGGTCAGGCAATGATGCATCCTCTGAAATCATGCATTAAACTCATCATGATCTACAACATTCTGAAAAATCAAACCAACACATGAACTTATTCAGATCCCCTGGTCAAACTGATGCTGTCAAATTGTACTAATTTTGCCACCCCTTTTCAGAACCCCAGTAGCATTGAAAAGCAGTAAAAAGTCAGTTAGAAATTGATATTTGGACTTCAATTATAGCCAAGGGGGACCAAATTACATCCATGAAGATACTGGACATTGAAAATATGGAATTTGAAGTTTGAAATTTGAATGGTTGTAGAAAGGTTGTCCGTAATGATGATTTATTAAACTGTGTATTCGTTACAAGAAAGGCAGAGAAGTACAAACTCACACACCTGAGATTTCACTCGTAGACCCATTAACATATCGAGAGCATAGATATATTGGATCAATCGGTAAGGCTCTACCTACCCCTGAAATCAGCAGGTAATAAACTTGAGACAGTCAATTAGGAAATTAAAAGACTGTTGAAAAAAAAAGAATACAAGAAAAATAAAGAGATTCATACAGTCTTCAAATGGGGGAAGACCCCACAGCTCAGGCTGAAATTCTAGTAAAGAATGAAGCACTTTATCTGCTAGGGAAGAACACTCAACTTCCCCATGGGAGGGGACTGCTACAACCTTCATCTTGGCAGCCATAGCTGCTTTCACGCCAACCCTGTTGGAATGTATCTTGTTCAGAGAAAGGAAAAAGTTGGAGGTGCAGAAAGAGAGATATCCTAGGCAGCAGATGCCATACTGACTAACCCCAAAAGGCAAGGATGCCTAATAAATCGTACGGATTCAGGCATCTTTTTATTAGGTAGGACCTGAGATCAGATCATTAATTAATCAAACGAGTCTATTGATTCCTATAGCATGCGGTAATGTTGTTGTTCTTGTCTTTCTTCCCTTAAAGGTTAGGAAGCAAGCTTTTATTCAGTCATTTTAAAAGCTGGCTTAATATGAATGGCTGACGTGAAAAGATCTGCTAAATTGAATTGCTAACATTTTGAACGTTAAAAAAGTGATAACCAGTTATTTTCCTGGAAAATTTTGCCTGCAAACGCAGATGGTGGTTGAAAGTGTCATCAAGTTGGTTCCACTCAACGAAAATAAAAGCAAGAGCAAAGGGGCATGGGGTTGCTAGAAATAAGATAGTGTTGTGTCATCAACTCTTGCTGCAGAGTACAGGGAGGAAATAAAAGTTAGCTGCAAGACTTATTACAAAATCTGATAACCTAGAGATAATTTTTATCTATTTAAAATTTCTAGTCAAGAGAAAAACAAACTTACAAGGAATCTTCAATGACCAAGCAATGAGAAGTATCTACGCCCATCCTCTTTGCTGCCTCTTCAAATCTGAAAAAATAACGTTTAGGGGAAACAGTTTAGAAGAAGATACTGTCAAGGCCTTCCAGTTTAAGTAACATCAATCATATAGCCTAACGATAGAGGGAAATCAGTTGAAAAGTTAATTAGGAGAAGTAGTTTGCCATTGTTAACTAACGAGGATACCTTTAGATCAACAGTTTATTGAAGCCCTGAAAAAAATTTTCGTTATATTTTCTTCATTTTATAAGGCTACATAAGCTTAGGTGGGAAGGTATTTTCAACTTTTACCTGTTAATCAATTCAAAGTTCCAAAGAATTTTCTTTCCTTTTGACTCATTTCTCTCGTTCTTCATGGCTTTGGCTTAATCCATCACCCATTGCATCAAAGATAAATTCTAGATTAATTTACTTGTTTTCATTTCCTTCAGCATTTGGGTTTTGCAGATTTCGATAATCATCAAGGCAATACTATTAAATCTGTATGGCTTGCATTTCAGAATTCAACAATTGGACGTAAAGAAGGTCCTTAGACTTCCATTTCCACATGACCAAGAGCGAGGTTTTTAATAAGCCCTGAGTTCATGTCATGAAAAAACCCAACAGACAACAAATGAGACAGATTTTAGTCTTCACCAAGATGGTTCATGCAAAAAAGCCTTACAGATAAGGAGCAGGCTTCCCTTCAATAACTTGGTCACTGCCAAGAATCACAGAAAACCATTCCTTCCAACCTGCACACAAGAACATATAATGCAATCACGAAAACAAAATATGGGGACAAGTTGGACAGTATCAAAAGGCCAAATGTTGCACATGGTACTGGACAATAATAGGATGTAGTGTAACGAGAGAATATGGAGAACTAAATAAAAGACAAAAAAATGCCATAAAGTAAGGAAGCCAAAGCAAGCAATTAGTGCAAATCCCACTAGTCGACGCATAGAATATGGTTCAACTCCAATGACCAATAGGGAGTAGGAAGGCTTTGCACTACTTCCCAAGTTCTTCCATATAAAAGTTAGGATAGCTGAAGAAAGCTGTCAGATAGTTACTATTTCTGGGAAGTATGAAAACAACAATTGCTATAATTACTCAAAATTAGCATATGATCTGTTCAACACATCATAGACAACCTCAAAACAAAACAAAAGAATGATAGAGAGAGAGATAGAGTACTGTTCCAAAATAATTGCATGTGTTGTTACATATACATGTGCTTTTCTGAAAAGCAATCAGGAGAATATGACCCTACCCTACAATGCAGGAGTTTAATCATCATAAAATTGGGAAAAGGGGGACAAAGGAGTATGCTAAACCCCAGACGAAGCAAATCATGTGCATCCACTAAAGAACCAATTATTAAGTGTACCGATCCTTTGGCTGTGTGTGTTGTATTCGCCTGTCTATATTTGCAAGACCTCTTCAATTAATACCCAGATAATAAAATTCTAAAGTAACTGATTCTTCATTTGCAGCACAATACCTTTATCAAATAAAATAAAAAAACCTACCCTGCACCAGAAGAGATTGCAAAGCAAGTGGACGAAAAGAGCAATTAACTAAGTATATGAAGAAGAAATTACCTCTCATACAAGAGATTTTGGCGTAGATATATTCATTTAATGAGTTTGAAGCGAGCGCAAATGGCACCTTGTGAGAGTAAAGATGTTTGATAAGACGGTCAGCACCAGGAAGTGCTTTAACAGAAGGCCATCTGAAGAGTATTTCAACAGTTAAAGAAACAAAAAATTACAGAAACAAACAAAAGATAAGAGCCGGAGTCTCACTTTTCCCTGTACATTGGGGTAATTTCTTGAATAAATTGGTCTGGTGTCAATGGAAGGCCATAATCCCTAACGATTGCAGCTGCAGATTCTTTCTGGGTCCTGCCCAATCTCTTCTCCTCTTCCCTCTTCTTGTCCAAAACCTTTCCATATTTTGCCAAGAAGTCATTCACCACGTCCTTTGTCGCCCTCTCTGCGCATAATAGAACAGTAATCTGCATTCTCATACGACCATTACGTGAAAATAAGAAAATACCTAAACAATTAGAAGAAACTACAGACCAGTGTCCAAAAGGGTTCCATCGAGGTCGAGAATCACAGCAGAAACTCTGCTAGGTTCAGACTCAAAGGAACTCATCCGCAACCGAAGGTGATAAATCGTAATTTGAATCTACTAGTGAATGGAAGAGATTATAGTATAAGCCGGATTTGAAATGAGAAGGGGGACACTGTTATAAACCTTGAGGTTCATCCCTGGCTAGTGGCGAGGGATCAATACCCATGATTGGAGTTGGGATTCCAACCCCGAATCAGAATTCAATTAATAGCGTAAAGAAATTCCACGCAGATTGAGTTGACAGAGAAAGAACGATCATGTTAGGCAAGTTGGGAGGAAATTGGTTAGAAATTCTGGTTTTTTCCGCTTTACTCTGTTCTTCGTGGAGATTGAATAACGACAAAGGACAAAAATGGTGGATTTGAACGATTATTTGATGCTTCCAATGCTTGGGTTATTCCAACTGCCAAATCTCGTTCGATTGGAATCTGTATGTTTAGCAGTTTCTGCATTCTCGAACTTCGGAGAATGTTGAGCAAGCTTCATGATCACGGAGAGAATATTCACAGTATCTTCGAAATTCTGTTATTCACCTAATTTCAAAAATTAAAAATGATTTTGATTTTTTTAAAATTTTATTTTATTACAATGAATGATTTTAGAAATCGTGGTGTTCATGAGAACAGGAATGATTTGAATTAAATTTAATCGATCATTGATCCTTCCCGATAAGTTATTGTCTCACCAATTAACTAATCAGATCAGAGTCCTCTTTTGAAATGGTTCCAGTTCTATAAAATCTAATCATTTGACAATTCAACAAAAAGTTTGAGTATCTGGAGAAATTAATTCAACTCAGAGTTGAGCTTTCTTCCTACTCATCTTTTTTTATTTTTTATTTTTGTACTTAAATCAAGGCATATCATAATAGGACAGTCCTATTCGAAACTATCATATGTCTAAAGCAATATCTAAATAATTTTAAAAATCATATGTCTAAAGCAATATCTAAATAATTTTAAAAGTTTTTCATGATTTTGTCTGTGTCCATAAACAAATAAAAATATTTCGACTTGTTTAGAACATGTCCAAATCATACTACGAAGCACCCGTACTAAAAAAAATCTGATCTTCTTAACGAAAGAAAATAAGACATGATTTAAAAATCACAATTTTAGATTTTTTATTTCAAGAGATAACAAGTAAAAAGATCCCTTCAAATCCAGTAGAAAGAAACGGGACTTGTTCCTGCTTTTCTTTCTTTTAAAAGCATCTACATATTGAATATTTAAATATATCAATTATTTATTAGCTAGTAATTTAATCTTGATTGATTGATTTTTTTTCCCCAATTCATCAACAATGAGTGGAATGGGTGGAATGGATATTTGTGTTTTAATTGCATTTGATTTAATAAACCGTCATTGTCAGTGGGAATGAATTTTAAAGAGAGATGGAGAGAATTTGAAAAACTCATAATTATCAATATTCTTCTATAACTTTGTTTACTTTTCAATTAAAAAAATCTTATAAATTTGACTTGGGTCAAAACATTAAAAACAAAGTGCAGGTTTAAATTCTCACTAGTATTTTTCAAATTAAAAAAATCCTTAATATATATTTAGTTTCATAACAAAAGTTTTTATTTTATAACATTTTTGGGAGTGAATTAAGTTTGTTTGTCATACACGGGTCAATAAATCTAATGAATTAATTTACGCCACGCATGAATGAAACAGAGATCCATCCTTCACTTTTTCTTCTATTACCAAATGGTATTCTTAAACAATGCAAATAAATAAATAAAATCCAGCATCATTAACACGAAAAATATATTTATCAAAATTCATTTTATTCACAAAAAAAGAAAGAAAAAAGAGTGTCAAGGTTGTTCAATAGGATACGGTGTCGTGTTGCTATAGAACTAAGATTTAATGCGTGCAGTGGTATGGTGAGCACAAAGGAATGATTCCACAGTTTATTGCGATCTAAATGGGCCAATGCAGCAACAAGGTGGGGCTCATCTTAGAAATATTGTCACATTAATCAAAATAATGCTCTCACTCACATCCAGTACAGAATGTTGTAAGCATTTTTTTACATTCCTGTTCCCATCATCACACATAATACCATTATATCATCACTTCATATTCCTAAATAATTCTCATTCTTCTCAAATTTTAAACATTTAATTTGATTACACAAAATATAAAAAGGCTTAAATCCCATGGAAGAAATAAAGAGGATGCTCAAAATAGTTCCTGTTAATTTAGTATATATTTCCATAAATAGGCTAAATGTATGTTTCTTTTTAATTTAGTCTCTATTATTTAAAAAATTTTACATAGCCTTTTATATTTTAAAATTTTTCATTTTAGCCTCTATTATTAATGATGTTAAAATTGGACCGAGATAAACTTACATCAGGTAGTGTGCTTAGTGAATTCATGAAAGCCTAGAAGCAAAAAAAAAAAAGAAAGAAAAAAAAAATCAACACTTCTACTGATTTCTTTAAAATTTGAAACTTCTCTCTAATATAACCTCTTCCCTCTCAATTTCCACTAATTCACCAAGTATTTTGGTAGGTAAGTTGACCTTCAACCGATTTTAAAATTTACAAATGAGAGATTATATTGAAAAATATTAAAACGCAAGATTAAATTGAAACTTTTTAAACGATGAGAACCTCACTCAAACAGGACTAAAATATATATCTCACCATTAAAAAATTAAAAGATAATGAAGAAGAATAATCACCAGGTTGAACTGTAGATAGATTCTGTTGCAACTTTGAAAGGGGGACTTTTTGCATTCGTCGATCTGGCAGTTGTAGTTCCCTGTACTCAAATTCTATTTCATCAGTAGAAAGAAAGAGAGAGCAAGAGGGAAGAGGCAAAGTTATATTTATAAGACTTGACATAGAACATATATAATGCTTCAACAGAAACCCTCCATCTGGGCAATGGCATTTTTCATCTGAACAGGATGGATAAAACACCTTAACAATCAAGTCATTCCCCCGACTACAACCTATCGACCATCACTGAGAAGGGAAAGCTTGTGCAATTGCAGATTAGACCAAACAAGTCCAGACATCATACTCAAAAATAAACCACACAATAATGGGCATCAGAAAAAAGGGAAGAGGAGAAAAAAAGAGAGAGAAGAACAAAGGGAAGATAATAAAAGGAACCCTCCTTATGCTAAACACTAAGGGCAATTATCAAGTCACATCCATCATCTCCAGAGTACTGATTGTGCCACTTAAGATGCTATCCGCTTCACTGCAGCAAATGAAGAATGGTTACGTATACTTCAAAAATGACTGACTAACAGCAACAAACGGTTTGAGCTACTCACCTCGGCATCATCACCACCAGAAACCTTGGTAGTGCCGTTGATCTTTTGGGCATCTTCTGTAGCAATGAGGAATCGCGTGTCAATAAAGAGAGAGACGAGAGATAAGAGGAAATCTAACGAGATGATGATGTTTATAATGAACTTTGTGGTAAAAATTAAGGTTAACTAATTTGGCCACACTCAGAGATTAAAAAAATGACCAAGTCACTGCTATCATCCCAAGACAGAGCAAGGAGAATCCTTCAATCAAGGACATACTGGCTATGGCTGCAGTTCTCAAGTAGATGTACAAATTCCAATTGCTCATATCTTATGATAACAGCTTATCTTCCTTTTATCAGAAATTATAGCATGTAGCAACTCGTTCTCATCGTTATCTGAATGCTTAAGATATCCTAAGTTCTTTCACATTGGCCTTCTCCTTAAGCACCCCAACAAAGAATTAAACCACAACTATAAGGCCAGTCCTAGGTCATAAAGACGTGGTTATTAATCTATATTAAATCTTCAACCACATCTATCTTTTTTCTTCCTATCCATTATCCAGTTTTCATTTGTATCAGCAATGCTCAAATTATTACATAGTTCGCATGGAAATCCTTTGGCCAAGCTTTTAAAACCACGACACAGGAGAAGCCCAACGAAGAGTGTGACATTACCTCCATCTTCTGGGATGTCAGAAGTCCATAATGTCAGGTTGTCCCTAAGAAGCTGCATGATTAAGGTGCTATCTTTGTATGACTCCTCATTGAGGGTGTCGAGTTCAGAGATGGCTTCATCAAAGGCTTGCTTTGCCAGGTGGCAAGCCCTAAACAAAGAAAAAAAAATGTAGCTACCAACATCAACTGAGCTCCGAAGAGGACAAATTTACACTAGGTTCACTGATAATATTACATTAACCAGACCTTTCAGGTGAATTCAAGATTTCATAGTAGAAGACGGAGAAATTTAATGCCAAACCCAGGCGGATAGGGTGTGTAGGAGGTAACTCAGATTCGGCTGAGCTGGTTGCAGCCTGTTACAAACAAGGTAAAAGCAAGACAGATGTAAAAACTAGTAAATGAATAGACTGAAGAGAAATACAGAGTCCTATAGAATTTCTCAATTACAATGTTTGAGAAGATAATTCCAAGTAGTCCAATCAAAAACCTTCTGGCAAATAATTTGATGTAAACCTTATTGTGAACAAGTTTTACCAGGGTAAAGAGAATTCATTGTTTTATCTGCTTCTACAATTAGAAAAGGGAAGGCAGTACTAGAAACAAAGCAAATATCAAATGCCAGTTTCCTGCCAAAGTAATTGAAGCATGTAATTTTCTCAATTATCATCCAGTCTACTGCTATGAGAATATATTATATAGGCCAAGAAAAAATGTGAAAATATAGATATTTAGCTAAAGAATACATACTTATTCAGTATATTATAAGGGACAATGCAAACAATCAACACAATCTAGAAAGAGACAAGAGAGTCAAGCATGACATATGTTTAAAATAGAGAAGAATATAACAGGATAAAGAGTAGAAGGACATGATTCATATGAAAAAATAAGGAAAAAATTATATGCCCACCTCATATGCTTTCATTGATTGATCAGCTGCATCTTTCTTTTCATTACCAGACTTAAATTCTGCTAGGTAACGATAATAATCTCCTTTCCTGCAATGAAGGATGATTCAATATCACCAGTGTCCAGTAGTCATGCACCTAAGCATTAATACATAAGCTAGAAGTATACTCACATCTTATAATAGAACACTGTCGATTCCCCAGCTGAAGCTGAGGGAATCAGGTGCTCATCAATCACAGTCATGATGTCAGTACAAATACCAGAGAGCTCTGATTCAACCTTCTGTCTGTATTCCTTGATGCGTTTTGCATTTGCTTCATTTCCTTTAGCTTCTTCCTTCTGCTCTATCGATGATAGAATCCTCCATGAGGCTCTCCGTGCACCAACCACATTCTTGTATCCAACAGAGAGCAAGTTTCTTTCCTCGACTGTCAGTTCAACATCAAGCTTTGCGACATTCTTCATTGCATCCACCATTTCTATTACAAAAGGGATGAGCAACGTAAATAAAAATCAGCATCACCATTTATCATCCAAAACCAACCACAATCAGAGTTTGACTGTCGAGACAACTTCAATTTGGTTTGCGCTTACAGATAAAATGATGTCCACAAGTTGTCTGTGTGAGAGTGAAGTATTAGCTACTCGAGTGACGATCAAAAAACTTTGTAAAAAAAGTGTTTTCTATTAAATCGAACAGATCAGACAGAACTCAATATCAAACTACAGATCAAGAGAAAAATATGGCGCGAGGAGCAAAACTAAAGAAATGTAGCAGAATGTTAGACAAAGTAAATTTCCACAGTTCTCAAACAGATCGTGTAAACGAAGAAACATAACAACACTCAAAAGGACATACTGCGGACACATTATACACAGAAGCAAGCGATCGTACTTCAAATCCCACAAAAGGCATAAATACAGAGGACAAGCAAAATTAAACATATCACACAAACAAAGAGAAATGCGATCTAATCAGAGAGCCAAAAGTTTAAAAAAAAAAAAATCAAATAACAAAGCATCAGAAAACAAATCAAACGGAAATCGTAAAAGACAAGAAGATGCCACAAACCATCATAACGCTCGGCCTGCTCGGCGAGCTTGGCGATGTAAACGAAGTTCTCGCGGTCTTTAGAGGAAGCCATGGCCGATCTGAGACCAAAGAATTAGGGTTTGCTATACAGTGTGGGTTTTTTGGTGGTTCTGGCTCGGAAAGAGAGAGGCAGAGTCAGACCCACAGAATTGAAGAAACCAACAATATCAGAAGAATATCACCTTCAAATTGCTTTTATGGTTAATTTAATTATTATATATTTTTATTACTGTTATTATTATTATTATTATGTCTTTTTATTTTTTTTGTGAAAACTATTATTATTATGTCTTTACAGTTTACTCTTTATATTTGTTCTTCTTCGCTGTTCAAAAAGATTCTGGTCTCCGGAAATTGACATATAAATTAGCCGCGTATTAGAGATAATTCGCTGAAATTTCTCTCCAATCGCCGCGTGCCACGTACACCATAATAATTTCTTGCTATAGAAAAATCCTTGCCGCTCTCACGAATCAACAGCTGCCACGTTTCATAGACCACCAATTGCCTATCGACGGTCTTAAATTTTACAGCACCACCACCCCAATTTTAATGCTTATTATAAATTATAAAATAAATAAAAAGAATGTTAACTTACCTGCTCTTATTGTAAACTTTAAAGGCAATTTTTCAAAAAATGCCCTCGTAATTTATTAAAATTCCACGACTATCCCTGAAAAATAATTGCTTGTTTGTTAGTCATTTAAGATTCCCAAGTTTTCCTGACTTCTTAAAATGGATAAATATTTAAATTCAACATCAAGACTACCTTAGTTTTAATAAATCGTTTTTTTATTCACTTAATTATCGTATTTGTCATATAGTTATCATAAATATATATAGTTAAAACGATAAAATTTCTATAAAAATGGAATAGATTTGAACAAACACGTTATAATAATTATTTTTTTCTTTGATGACACGCAAAAATGTCTCACAAGGTACAATTGAACAAAAATCTGGTGATGATTTCTAAGCCCTAAAGTTTAGTTGGTCGTAGGTTGCAGTCAAGGTCCAACTTCATAAATGCTGGGCCCGCTTGGGGTTAGGGGTACGACCCAATAATGTTTAATTGGTCCTTCTTTCTAATAAAATTTGAGAAAAAATATCGATTTTTAATTATAAGAAAAAAACTTTCAATTTCATCCTATTACATAATTGTTGTAATTTTATTTAATTTCACTTACTCACCTACTCATTTGAACAAAAATTAGTGTAAACATTCACTAATTTTAATAAAATTAAGCTTGGAACAAAATTAAATTGTATCAAATTTGAATGATTCTCCCGGCATTCACAAATTTCTTCCAATTTTCGTTTTTCTTTGAAACCATATCAATTTTGTACTGGTCACATATGTTTTTTAATCCATTTGATGCATGTAAGAATTCTTTTTTTATGATTCTTCATATAAAAACTTATCATAGGGTAAAAATTGCAAAAACAAGCTGAATGTTGCAATATTAATTTAAATTTATAGTACAATTATAAGGTAAAAAAAACTTATCGCAGGGTAAAAATTACAAAAACAAGTTGAATGTTGCAACGCTAATTTAAATTTATGGTGCAATTTCAAGGGAAATTTTATTGATATTGTCAAGTTGAAGGCAAAAATTGATATTTTTTTTTCTAAATTTTACAATATATTAAACTACAAATATAGTTCCTATGGGTTGTTGGGAATTATTTTCTTTAAAAATGAGTTTAAATTGAAACTAAATCTAAATAGTAGACATAAAATCTAAATTCAGGAGGCAAACTACACAGTTGTAAGCTTAAATAACATTTTTTGTCTCTTTACTCTCGTTGACCTAACAATTTACTTTTGATCTCTCTTTTCTCATTAAAATCACACATCTTTTATAGCTTAAGTTTAACAATTAAGTATTTAACAATTGAGTTTTTTAAGTTTAAAAAATTGTAAGAATTTTAATCTCTGTTGTAAAAAATCTCATCAAAATTAAGTGACGAATGACGATTATTATTATATAAAAATTTATAATTTGTTGTAATTTCTAGTAAATACATCTAATTCCTCATAAGTTTATCGATTACACAGGTAAGGAACGTATCAAATCTTAAAAATATTTTTTTCTCAAGACTAGACCTTTACAAATTTAAACTACATGGATTAAATTGTTACCTGTTAAATTTCATTGATTAAATTGTTATATTTTGAATAAATAATTATTAATTTAATTTATGGACTAAAACGGATTAAAGTGTATTTTTATTGTAATCAAACAAAAATTTGCTTTCTCAACAAAAGAAAAAAATCAAAATTTGAAAATTGAAGTGGTACTATATATTACTACTGTAAAAGAAATTAAACGAAAATCAGAAAGGGAGAGAGAAGCAAATAAAATTACATAAGTAAAATAGAAAAAAAAAAAAGGATTAAATTCGTAAACGGAGATTAAAAAGGAGTAATTATCAGTTATCACATAATGGAGCAATTATTAACATTGTCGTCACTGAACATGGAACCGGTCTGGCGGCCGAAGATGTTGGAATGTGTGGAGTAGTTATGATGGTGGGCCTGATCATGATTATCGTACCCATGTTTGTAATAGTTGTAAGAAGATGTGGGCTGGGGCCCATAGAAATTTTGGATCGGCCCATTTAACTGGTGCTGCGGGTAGGGATCACTGCAGTTATCGTGCTCCGGGTTATAGGGTAACTGCCACAGCTCTGCCCGCCGCCCCGACTTGCGGACCGCCTTCAGCACCATCTTCTGATCCGCCCATCCGGTCACCGTCACCTTCTGTAACGACATGTCGATTTCCACGTTGTCCACCCCTAAGTCCAATCCAACAACAAAATTATACAAATTTGTCTACATAATTATTTTCTAAATGTTTTTCTTACAAATAAATAAAATTCCCTTAAAAAAAAAAACTAGTTTTCTAAGTGAACTCCAATTACTATTTTTTAAAAATGATTTTGTTTTTCAAAACAACCCCTTCATTGAACAAATAGGTCTCGTGGGCCACACCAGTAGAAAAATCATTTTTCCAAAAATTGAGATGGAATTTAAAAAAGTTATGAGAAAATAACTTCTAATCTAAGGGACTCTCCCGCAACAAAATAAGCAATTTCATTTGATTCTTTATAAACCTGTATAAAGTGAATTGAGATGAAAGATGATACATCATGGATATAATGTCATGAATCACAGTAGTATCGATGAATCCCAATAGTTATAAAAATAATTGAAGTTGTTATTTTCTAAATAATTATAAATTTTTAGGTTTGTAGAGTAAACTCTGCAGAAGAAATTAGGGAAAAAAAAGAGAAGAGATTCTTGAAGGAAAAAAAATTATTAAGAAAATACAAGAATGACACCCCCACGAACTTTATTCAGTTGCCTATAAGTTATATTCACCGACGAGAGATTCATTAGATTCCAAATAAAAAGATATTTTTTTGGGACGTTGGTGAATCTTAATCCATATGAAGTAGCTTTCTAACCTTTTAAATTTTGGAGTGAAGTTCGGACTTTGCTTTCGCAACCGGGGCAATCCATATGGACTCGGAGCTCCAAAGTCTACAAGAGTTAACACGGTTAGATTACGAGGAAAAAAAAAAACAAATAGCTACTAAAAGAGAGATCCAAGGCTGCCTACCGTCATGTTATAATTGATTTCTGAAGGGGAAAACGAAGGAAAATGAACTCTCAAAGGCCAAATATCTCTTTTGAAGTTTAGAAAAATATGTATGAGAAGCAAAGCCAGAGGTTGAGTTTATATAATAATGGCCAATGTTTGCTTCTGAAGTGTGGAGAAAAATTAAACTGTCCCATCTTTTTTATTTTCTAAGTTTATGAATTCCAGTCACCGACCTTTTATTTTTCTATACTTCCTTAAAGGGAGAGATTTAAATAGAGTGAAAATTAAGCAGTCTCTTCAATAAGTTGTCTCCTTCAAATTGTTTAAACTTCTGCATTATGATTTTCCTATCTTAATTTTTAGATTATAGACAAACAATTGAGGACTGATTAAAACTGATTAATTCTTAAACTTTATGAACAATGGGTTGACTTAATTATGGATGTTATTATTTATTGATCATATTGTATCGTTGAATAAGCTGGAATAACATGGGCAAATGGACGCACATGACACAGCGGCTTTAGTGGATCATGTTGCCATTTTCTGGTTTACATTTGTCTTCAGAAAAAAGAAAGAATGAAGGCTTTTTGGAAGAACTTTGGCATTTATATGGATCATTTCGAAAAACAACCAATTAGCTATTTTCTCAATGTCATTAGATCTCGGGAATTCAGTGATTCTTTCACTTTGTATAGAAAAGGAGGAGCCGAAACACATATCAGATGGAAAAGAAAAAAAAAAAACTGATACTCAGATACATTTTAAACTATAACAAAACCAGAAGTTCTTGTTGCATAAGTTATTGCGAAGACTAAGGCTAAGAGACTAAGAGACTAATTAGAGGCTGGCATAAGAGCTCAGCAGCACAACGAATATACATGTAGAAAAACAAGGGCAGACGTAGCACCGACACGGTATTGCCTCTTTAACCGGTGTTCTGCATACCGGCAGCGATACCCTTCATCGTTAGGATAAGAGTGTCTTCCAAACCAGGTGCGTACTCGCTCTTCGGGTTGAGCTTCACAAGTTCTGCAGCAGGTTTGCTTGATTCAAGGTATTCCTTTGAGAGGTGAGGCCTGACTTTCACGTTGTAGTTGGGATCACGGATCCGCTTCAATGTATATGCTTGGCAAACGTTAAGGGTGGTTATGTATGAATCACGAAGACGGAGTCGCTGCCTCAAGTAAGGGTCTCCTTCGAGAAGATCCTTGTGCTTAGCTACCTGAAAATTTAACATCAAACTGCTTAGTTGTTTGCAAAAGCTTCAATATTTGAAAAGTGTTTTAGAAGAAAGCATATGGACAGTGCCTGAAGGAGAAGGTCCTTAGTTTCTTCATAGTTAGCTCTCAACCGCTCTCCGAACGACCATAGATCTTCTGACACGAGAAGCTTGTCATACAGAGCAGCAATTCCTGGGTCTCCTTTGGCAAACACCATTTCAACTAAGTCAATAGTGACTCTAAAGAAAGGCCACTGACGGTACATCTGTTGCAGCATATGGAGATTCTTCACATCCTTCTCAATTATACATTTAAATGCTGCTCCAAAACCAAGCCAAACTGGTAGATGAAACCTTGTTTGTGTCCAAGCAAAGATCCATGGAATTGCACGCAGTGATTCGATGCCTCCACTYGGCTTCCTCTTTGATGGACGACTTCCAATATTCATTCGACCATATTCTAACTCTGGAGTTGCCTGCATATTTAAAAAAATGAAAAAGGGTTAATTTATGAATATGATCCGTCAAACTGACAAAACAATTAACTGAGTATTGAAACCGTAAGGAAGCCAGTCGGCTTGAAAATAGGCTCCTAAAATAAACATAAGGCAAGAATATTGTCTTGCAAAGTCATAGATAATCAATCGTAATCTGTTGATAAATTGTATGGCTAAGAATACATACGAGGCGGAAGTATTCAACAAAACGAGGTTCCTGGAAAACAATGGAGCGATATTTTTCGGTAGCAACAACTGCCATAGCATCCATGAGAGCACGCCACTCTGGCTTTGGAGAAATAGGTGGATTCATGCCGTGTTCAAGCGTTGCAGCAGTAAAACGCTGAAGTGTTCTAAAGCACAAGTGCTCTTCTCCAAAAGATTGTTCAATGACCTCGCCTTGAACTGTGACACGTAGTGAACCGTGGATTGTATCAGGGGGCTGAGATAATATAGCAAGGTGGGTAGGACCCCCTCCCCTACCAACTGTTCCTCCTCGGCCATGAAACATTGTAAGCTTAACTCCATATTGTTTAGCCACATTGATGAGTTCTTCTTGGGCCTTATAAAGCTGCCATGCAGCAGAGAGACGACCAGCATCCTTTCCTGAATCTGAGTACCCGATCATGACTTCTTGCTTACCATCAATGCGGTTTCTATACCAATCGATTGAAAAGAGACGAGCCATAGCAGAAGGAGCAGCCTCAAGATCAGCAAGTTTTTCAAATAATGGGACAACCCTCAGTGGCTTCCTCACATGACTTTCACGCTGTAAAAGCTCAACAGCAAGCACGTCAGATGGAGCTGTTGCCATTGAGATAATATAAGCACCAAAGTTATCTGAAGGAAGCTCTGCAATGACATTGAAGGTGTCCAGAACATCAGCAATTTCTTCGGTCTTTGGAAGATCAGGACCAAAAAGAGGGCGTTTTCCACTGAGTTCGGATAGTAGCCATTCTTGTTTTTGTTCTTCGGACCATTCTTTGTATGAACCAATGTCCAAGTAGTTAGTGATAGCATCAATGACATCAGCGTGCCTTTCTGATTCTTGTCGGATATCCAGTCTGACAAGTGAAAGCCCAAATGTAGAAACTTGCCGTAAGAAATCTAGAAGGCTCCCATCAGCAATTGACCTATCGCCACAAGCGCAGAGTGACCTGTAGCAGAGCTCGAGGGGCTCCAGGAACTATGGAGAAAAATAAAACAAGTCAGAACTAGAAAAAGAAAGGAAAAGAAAAAGCACTAAGACTATTCACACTTTATATGCTGCTATTCTATTTAAAAGGTATGTCTTTGATTATCATGCATTTAACTTTTCAAGAAAATTTACGGTGATCAAAAGCTTCCATACAATTTCCAACTAACAAACGTGGCCTACGTGTTGGTTCAAAATGAACTCATTACTATTAAATTTTAGAAGATGTCAATGTCAATTTAAAGTTTAAACCTGACTATAATATAATATTTTTGAATTGACAAAATAAAGAATTTATAGATCATTTTGCTCGATACCGTAAATTTAAAAATACGTAAGTGGTTCTCTTGATATTTAAATCGTTAGATCAGAAATTTAAGACATTTTTTTAGTGTGAAGAAAAACCTGCTCAACATCAGTGAAAGTAGAATCTTCGGGAATTTCAGAGATTCCACTGGTTAATAAGTGACGAGCACGCTCACGTGTATTATATAACTTGTCTCGTACATCCCCAAGAATAACACGGTAGGGCTCATTTGGAGGAATTTGTTTCCAAAACTCTGCATCCAGAAAGCGTGTAAAGCCACTCAAGGTCAATGAACTAATGATGATAAATATTAGTCCAATCAAAGCCATGCTAAGAAATATTGGAGCATGTAGTCAATTTTTTGTAACATATTAGAACATACTTTAAAGTTTCAGATGATGAGATCGAAACCAAAACCTAAAAATGTGGTTCAATTTATAAAACCAAATCTTATATACCTATGTAGTGCTTTGCATCTTTTCTTGAGGACCGATGAAGTTCTTCAGCCCGACTCTGTAATTCATTACTGCATCTCCACATAGATAACTGGCGAAAAGAGGAATTGAAAAGTAAATAAAGGAAAGCACGAGTGAAAAATAGTGAAAACAAAAAATTAACATACAAAAATCTGCTAGGATGTACTTCTCCAAACATGAATATTAAACAAGAAAACTTTATCTGATCCTGAAAATATGAACTTAATTTGGAACTTGAAATTGTATTTGCTTATTTTATTTATACCTCAAACATAAGATCCTCTATCTGGGAAAAATACAAGTTAGCAGCCATCATTCTAGCCAATAAGCAGACATCCCTTGTTACTTCT